TCTCCAACAAACAACTTCCAGCAAGTGGAGGGGTCAGAAGATGTCGTGGAGTCAAGAATGGTGTTTTCTTCAATGTCCATGCTTGCTGTCTGCCCCTCGCCATCTGATTGGACTGTTGGTGAGTCTTGGTTTGCTTCTTCCTTGCTGTTTTTAGTCTGGTCTGTCTTGGATTTTGACTGAGTGCTTTCTGCTAGGGGTTGCGCTATTCCGGCGTCAACTTCCATCCCTAGTTCGGTTGTGTCAGTTAGGTCGACTGGGCAGATATGATGACTTCCAGGAGTAAACTCTGCGACGAAGTTTGCCAAGGATTGGGCTTTTACTGCGGTTCTGGGTTGGAACTTGATGTCGAATTGTCCCAACTCTACTGCCCACTTCAAGATTTGCCCAGAAAAGTTCGCCCTTTCAAACAAAGCTTTTAGTGGAAAAGCTGTGAGGACAACTATGGTGTGGGCATGAAAGTAGTGTGCCAATTTCCTTGAGGCCATCATTAAGGCTAATGCGAGTTTTTCCAGTGGCAAATACCGTGTTTCGGCTCCCAGCAATGTCTTGCTGACATAATAGATGGGCAGGTGTTGGATTCCTTCTGCACGAACCAACACTGCACTAACTGCGTGCTGAGAGACTGCCAGGTATAAGAAGAGTTCTTTACCAGGTACTGGGGTAACAAGTAGTGGTGGGGAAGACATATATTCCTTCAAGCTTTTCAGAGCTTGGTCGCATTCTTCATCCCACTCAAACTTGGCCTTTAAAGCTTGAAAGAATTGTCGCAATCTGTCTGACGACTTGCTTATGAACCAGTTGAGTACAGCCGCCATGCCGGTGAGATGCTGCACTTCTTTTACTGAGTTTGGTCTCTTCAACTCCTGGATTGCTTTGATCTGGGAGGGGTCTGCTTCTATACCCCGGTTGGTCACAAGGAAGCCCAAGAATTTGCCAGATCCTACACCGAACGAACACTTGGATGCATTGAGGCGCAACTTGTGCTTCTTCAAGGCTTCAAACATTTCTCCTAAGTCCTTGAGATTGTCATTCTCATCCTTGCTTTTGACCACCATGTCGTCGATGTAAGCCTCCATTGTTCTGCCTAACAATGGTTCAAACATTTTGGTGACCATCCGTTGGAATGTCGCCCCTGCGTTCTTTAGGCCAAAGGGCATGACCTTGTAGCAATATAATCCTCTTGGTGTTGTAAAGGATGTGACCTCCTGGTCTGGTTCATGCATGGCGATTTGGTGGTAGCCCCTGTATGCATCTAGAAAGCTAAGTCGATTGTGTCCCGCTGTTAGGTCTACCAGTTGATCTATCCTTGGTAGAGGAAAACTGTCTTTTGGGCACGCCTTGTTGACTGTTTTGTAGTCGACGCAGACACGCCATTTACCATTCTTCTTTGGCACTACGACTGTGTTGGAAATCCATCTTGGGTAGTGCATTTCTCTAATTGCTCCTGCCTCCAGCAGGTTACCTACTTCTTCTGCCACTATTTCGGCATGATGAAGTGCCGATCTACGAGTGCGCTGAATGACTGGTCTGGCGGATGGGTGGATATTGAGTTGGTGACAGATGAAGTTTGGATCAATGCCTGGCATGTCGTAGGGCGTCCAGGCAAACACTTCGATATTAGAGGTCAAGAATTCCAAGACCTCTAATCTCTCAGTGCTGGACAACGATGAGCCAAGCAAGAAGAACTTATCCGGGTTCTTCTCATCTATTTTTACCTCCACCAAGTCCTCCACCGCTTTCTGATCAGCCTCTTTACCGACGTCCGCGAATAGTTCATTACTCTCTGGTTCTTCCACCGAATGAACGTATCCTTTGGCAGCTCGGCTTATATATATAATCACACTTAAAAAGTGTGATTAAAAAGTAGTAGTGTATATATA